GACGCAGCCGACAGGGAAGTTCATGGCGACGAGCGCCCTTGGGTTCCCGCCATTACTGCGCGGCGGCTCTTTGCTGCTCCTGGAACGACGACTGTCGCTTTCTGCGCCGTGATCTTCGCGAGTTCCTATCGGGGCTCGGGGCGTATCCGGAATGCTGCGCTATCGTGCCGCGACTTGTTGTTCGTTGAGATTTTCCATGGCCGCGCAGGTGACACTGATCCAATTTGTTCGAGAGTGGGGCTTGCGCCTGGAAGTTGACCAAGAGAGCTTTGACCTAACAACAGAAAGCCGCCGCAACAGGCAAGGCAATGCGCCCGCGGTAATGTCCGCAAATCTTCGCGCATAGGATACGTCGAAGCGGACGTGGGTCACGTGCCCCGACCATCGTCTGAAGGTGTCTCTGGGGGGACAGACATTCTTGATCAACGAACCGGTATCGGACCCGTTGTGGCCAGCGAGAGATTCGCTTGCTCGCCCCCCCTTGCGCCGTGAACAATATTTCAGATTCATGGGGCCTTTCGAGAAGAGGTTTCTCGAGTAACTCGAGTGCGTGAAGTCCGAACCTGATGTCGCGCCCGCGGCCGCGTGGTGGAGGGGCTCGTGGGCGCGGATTGACCAGTGCCCGCCCCCGGCAGTCTATGATTGGCCTGGAGCGCGGGGCGAGGTTGCCGTGCATCCCGGCGGGTGGGCAGAATGGGAAGGAAGAGCATCTGCACTTAGAGGGGGCGCCGTTGCCTGCGCCTGCAGAACTGGCGCGGGCCGCGGGCTTTGCCCGTGGTCGGTCGCGCGCAGACGAGGAGACGTCAGCTCGGACACTTGCGACGCAAGCGGGTAATCCGCTCGTGGGCGTTGGTAAGTTTGAGGACCAGCCGCGTCGCGCCAGCCAGTCTGTCACCCAGCGAGCTGAGCTCATTCGATAACTCGGCAAGGGTGGGCCGTTGTCTTGGGGGCATGTTATTGGCGACGCTCGAGAGGTTCAACCTCGTGCGCGAATCTACTTCATGCCCCGTGACGAGGCCCGAAGCGATGATGAGAGCCTTCTCTTCCTTCGTATATTTCCTCCCAGCGCGACAACATATGCGAATGAGACAGTTGGATAAGATCTTCCAGAGTGGAAGAAGAAGGATATTCGTAGGCGGGATGGGCCCCAGAGTCAGCCGCTTTCGAATGTGAAAAAAAAAACCTGCAGCGGACATGTGCGTCATCTTCTCTGCCGAGCATGCCGCAGATGTGGCTTCCCTGTGTATGATGGAGTGCGCGAAAGACACGGGCGCCGGTGAGGAGAAAAAGGGGGCCTCGAAGTTTCTCATGCAGTGTGTCGACCATGCCAGGATAACGATTTCTTATTCGATTCCCCTGTGAGTTTCGGTTCTACTGAGTGCTTGCGATCATCGGGGATGTCATCGCGACAAATTTCGGGTCGGGTCGCTATGTGGCGTCCCCTGAGGGGGATGTTGAGCAGGAGGTTCTGTTCGGTGTTGGACATTGTCCGAAACGCAGGGGGATCGACGCTAGGGCATTTCACCAAGAAATCAGAGCGACAGTGCAAAGTCCTGACTTGGTCGACTCGTGCATTAAGAATCTGGGGCGAGGACTCAGGTCCGAGGCGCGGTCTTTCGCTCCCGCGATGCGCGCGTGCGCTGCCGAATTCGGACCTCAGTTTGACTGGGCCGCGTGGGCGACGGGTGATAACGCCGCGCCGTGGGAACACCGCGTATGAGGAGAACACCGTCGCGATCGGTTTTTGTGTGATTCGCGAGTGCAAGAGTTCGGGGCCACTCATTGCCGGATTAGCCGATGATGTGGACAGGGTAGTACGCGATAATGACAGAAGGTCTCTTGCGGTAAAGATTGATATAGTGAGCGCGGCGGGCGCGCGATGCGCTGCGGGCTCAGCCGGTGATGCTCCTTCGGCGGTTAACCCCGGCCAGTCCAGTGCGCCTGTGCTGGGCTCCGCCGCTGACTCTGTCAGCGGTGGCGCCTCTGCGTCAGGTGGCGCCGTGCAAGCCGATGACATCCAGGGTGCGGCTGCCGGTTCAATCGGCGGTGGCTAGTCCTGGTGCGACATCTCAGAATCATCGGCTCTGGAGTTGCCCGCGCCGCCGCCGCCGCCGCCTGCTCGCCGAGAGCCCGCGACGACATGGCCCGCTCCTGCTGGGGGGGGCATGCCGCCTCCGCCGAAGGCGTCGCGGTTGCGATGTGCAAGTTGGTCATGTGACAGTCTCAGTGGAAGGTCCGGCTACCGCCGGCGCCTCGGTTGTCCCAGCGGCCCAGAGGCAGGTTGGTGGATGCGTCTGGAGAGGATGTGATAACGAAGAGACTGTAAATTGTTGTGCAAACCAGCGTTGCCATGCTTGAACTGGATCTTGGGCTTATAATCAGAAGCGCAGTGAATGACAGCGCTGATGCCGTTGTGATCATGTTTTCTGTTGTTGAAGTTTCCCTCGGAGGGGCAAGGGGGGGGATGGGATCAAAGGGCAAATGTGATATCGCGTGCAATTTGGAAACGGGTTGTTGATCGAGATAATCTCGATGATTGCTGATGCGTGAGGAGGGGCGTGCGGTCGAATCGTTCGTCTCCGTTGAAGAGATGTGCGGGGCCGCGACGATGCGCGGTTTAACCGTGCATTGCTCGGCGGTGACATGATGAAGAAGGTCGGGAATAATCGCCTGATCCTGTGCGTCATGCTGAGCTGGCGCGCTGTATTATGTGTGGGGTGCGTCAGTCTGCTTCGGCCCGCTGCGAGGATTTGCCGGGAGTAGTTGCGATCCCGCTCCGTGCGCTGCAAGATTTTTTCTGGGGTTGGCGCCGGGGGGGCCAAGGTGCCCGGAGATTGCAAGAAACCTGGCAACGCCGAAGGGAGCTTTTGTTTGACCTGCGCATCCCACCGCGGGGGGAGTGAGTTCGCGCAGCTCCCTCCTTGCCGCTGACTGCCTGTTGACCATCGCCAGTGACTGCGGCCGTGTGCCGCAGCTGTTTGGGCTGCGAGGCTGTGAAAAAGGAACGGTGAAAAAGGGGCGTGCATCTAATTACATATCGTCACTTCTCGTAGCTACTGCTTAACGGAATATAAAAACATCGGTGTCAGCTACGAGTGCTCAAACCACTGGGGGTGGGTATCATAATGCCAACACAAGACAACAGTACATGCCATTGAAATTTGTCAGGCTCCGTTGGAGTTCTTGCGAATCACTAGACGGGAGGACGAGAGGATGGGAGGGTGGCGAGGGGAGGGGAGGAGGCACGTTGGGTGCGCTCGCGTCATATCTGGCGTCCTACCCCTCCCTCCCGTCCGTTACCGTGGCATAGATCTCCTCTTTATTCGCACAGTCGGATGTCGTAGCACGGCATCACATTACATGGCATACGGTGGTGTTGAAGATCGACGCGTAGCCTGGCGCCCCAAAGTGGGGGGGGGGGGCTTCTGCGGCCCAAGAAATTAACGAATCGGCACCGAATGTGTAATCACTTCCGATGGTTGCTTCGGGGGGCCATTTTCTACTTGTGGGGTCCTATGTGGAAAGACCGAAAACCATGCCGTGACATGGCGCTGGAAATAATGACGCCAGCGCTGCAGCGGGAGCGCGATTCGGAACGAGCGGAAGTGCGACAATAAGGCCAGCGTTGCAGCGGGAGCGTGATTCGGAACGAGCAGAAGCGCGGAAATGAAGCCAGCGCTGCATCGGAACACTATTCGGAACGAGCGGAAGCCCGAAAATGAGGTCAGCGCCTCAGCGAGAGCAGCATTTTGAAACTCAAAACGAAACCCAATTCGCCTACATCCGATGTGGAACAAAGACAATACGCGAGGGGGGGCCGAACACTCCGAGACATCTTCCGCCACAGACTCTGGGGAGAGAGGAGAGTAGTATTCATCTTGAGTAATTCTGGAGGGGGGGTGATGATGATGATGATGAGGATGATGATGACGATGGTGATGATGACGATGAAGGTGATGAGTATACTGCTGCTGATGATGACGATGATGATAATGGTGGTGATGATGGTGATGATGATGACGATGACAGTGACGATGACCGTGACGATGACGATGACGATGGTGATGACGATGATGATGATGATGCTGATGATGCTGGTGATTATGATGATAAGGAAAAGGAAAAAGAGGGGGCTGATCATGATGATGGTGATGATGGTGATGATGATGATGATGATGATGATGATGATGATGCTGCTGCTGCTGCTGGTGATTATGATGATAAGGAAAAGGAAGAAGAGGGGGCTGATCATGATGATGGTGATGATGGTGATGATGATGATGAGGATGAGGAGGAGGAGGAGGAAGAGGAGGTGGAGGAAAAGGAGGAGGAGGAGGAGGAAAAGGATGATGATGATGAGGAGGAGGCGGAAGAGGAGGAGGAAGAGGAGGAGGAGGCGGAGGAGGCGAGGAGGAGGAGGAGGAGGAGGCGATGGAGGTGGAGGAGGAGGAACATGATGCTCTTGTCGTCGTTGTCGTCGTCGTCGTCGTCATCGTTTTTGTCGTCGTCGTCGTCGTCGTCGCCCCGCGCGGCGGACGGCATTCCCGCGGCGCGCGCGCGCGGTGCCAGGTGGGGTTCGGGCGAGTGCGCGCTCTGTGGGGTCCGGCTGAAAAATGCCGGCGCCCTGGAGCCTTGATCGGGTCGGGAGGGAGGGAGGGACGAGGGAGGAGGAGAGGAGGAGGAGGAGGAGGAGGAGGAGGAGGAGGAGGAAGGAGAGGAGGAGGGAGGAGGAGGAGGAGGAGGAGGGGGAGGAGGAGGGGGAGGAGGAAGAGGAGGATTAGGAGGGAGGAGGAGGAGGACTAGGAGGGAGGAGGAGAGGAGGAGGAGGAGGAGGAGGAGGAGGAGAGGAGGAGGAGGAGGAAGGAGGGGGGGGTGGAAGAGGGGGTGGGGCAGGAGGGAGCATGATGAGGAGGGGGGGAGGGAGGGAGGAGGGAGGGAAGGCGGGCGGGAGGGAGGGAGGGCGACAAGGAATCGGCCGACTTTGGCTGGCTCCGTCCAAGGATTGGGCGTGCGACCGCGCTGAAACTGCGAGCCCTGCTGGCCGAGCTGGAGGCGGCCATCGTGCGCGGCTCGGCGCAGCAGGTCTTCGCGGCGCTGGGAAGCAGCCCAGTCCAGACGCTGGGGTGGCCCGCCCAACGCGCTGCCCAGCTGGCGCGGCAGCGGCGCCGCGTGGCGGAGCGGCAGGGGGCCCCTGGCAACTGGCTCGCGGACGACGCTCGTCGGTGAGTGCGGAGCGCGACGGATGTAGGGTGAGAGACGGGACACTGGCGCGCAGGGCTGCTCGAGGATGAGGAAATAGGTGGAAGGAGACAAGAGTAGGAGGAGGATGAGAGGATGATGATGGTGGTGGTGGTGATGATGTCGATGATGATGATGATGATGATGATGATGATGATGATGATGATGATGATGATGATGATGCTGATGATGAACATGATGATGAACATGAGGATGCAGATGATAGTGATGATGCTGATGATGCTGATGATGCTGATGATGATGATGGTGATGATGATGGTGATGGTGATGGTGATGGTGATGGTGATGGTGATGGTGATGATCAAGATTATGATGATGAGGAGGAGGAGTAGGATGATGCTGTTGCTGATGATGATGATGGTGGTGGTGGTGATGATGATGGTGGTGGTGATGATGATGCTGATGATGATGATGATGATGATGATGATGATGATGATGATGATGATGATGATGCTGATGCTAATCCTTGCTGATGTGCTGCTGATTGGGTGCAGTCTCTGTCTTCACTCTTGGCTGCTTCGAGCTTGAGTCTGCAGGAAGTCTCAGGCGGGGAGCACGTCTGTAGGTGAATTTCGAGGAAGTCTCAGGCGGGAGCCCCGTCCCTATGGGCCCCGCAGCCCGTGTTATTACTCCGAGCGGGCCATCGGGTTTTTGTAATTGTCGTCACTCTCGGGCTCTTGAGGTATGGTTATGAAGGACGTCTCGAGCGGGAGCCCCGTGTGTGAGTGAATGGCGAGAAAGTCTCGAGCGGCAGCCACGCGCCTCGTTTGTGAAAGAACCGCGAGGGAGTCGTGAGCCGGAGCTTTTTCTTTATGGGGCTTTGACAGACACAGCTTTGACGCCCACGTTTCCACGAGGTCTAGGTGGCGGAAAACAAAGGTCGACAGGCTGTGAAGAGCATGCCGCAACACTGAAGTGGTAGGCGACGTGCTACAGTGAACCGGAGGCACTGACGACGACGGTGGGGCTGAGGCGCGGGCCAGGAGTGTGCTCATGGTCGGGTCCAGCGAGCATGAGTTCACGTGTCGGTGGTTTGGGGTGCCTGTCGTGCGCCGCTTGGGTTGGGTCTCACCCTGATGCACGCGTCCTACCAGGATTCCGCGCTTTCGCAGGGTCAGACGCTGCGCAAAGGCGTCGCCATCGATTGCGCAAGGGATGAGGACTTTGGTCGCGCGGGCACATCGGACAAGCAGTGGTGGCTGCCCCTCTACATCATTGTCCAGCGCCGGGTGCGGATCATGCTGACCCTGCGGCCGCCCACGCGAGAGTTGCTGGAACGCGGGCCGCCAGCTTCCCCGCGGTGGGCGCCTGAGGAGTTCGACGAGAGAGCGGGGGGCTCCAGGGTGAGGCGGAGCCACTCGCAGCAGAGCTGGGCTTCGCGTTGCCCCCCGCCTGACCGCGGCCGCGACTAGCTCGAGACCTCCGGGTTCTCCCACCGGCTTGCTCCCGCGCCCCAGCGGCTGGCGGGGTAGTCCCGACGGCCTGGCCCGCGGGGTTTCCCCAGCGGCTTCGCGATTTGGCCATCGGAAAACGCGCCCATGCGGGCCGTGCCAGCAACACCGCCGACGAACATCGACTTGGGTGCCCTTGCCAAAGGGGCGCGGGGGAGGCGGATGGGGGAGAAAAGTGAGGAAGACGAGGAGGAGGCAGATCAAAGGGCGAAGGACAAGGGCGATGAAGAGACGGGAAGAGAGCCTGTGAGATCACAGGGGCGACGATCAGTGTTACTTCCGTGCTATTCGGGGCAATTGTCATGTGGTTTTGCATTCGAAATAACGTTCTGTTGTTCGATATGGGGTCTTGAAGTCCAGCCCCTTATCACAGAGTCAGTTTTCATCCCGAGCTGTTTTTTGAGGTTCCCGGGACCCTCGAAGGCCCCTGGGGGCCGGGAGCAATCAAACAATAGCCTCCGTGCTTTTTTTGTCGCGTTTCGCTGAACATATTCTGATACTGGTAAACAGAAACACAAGAATGTCCCGCGCGGGGGACGGGGAGGCCGAGACCGCCCAGTTCGGCAGCCGTTTTGTCTGTGATTTCTTCGCAGTTTATTCAGAAATCGCGCTCTCGCTTCTGTGCCGGCTACCACACGGGCGCCTTTCCTAGTGTCTTGAGATCCGACGTCGCGTAGAAAATGACACGCCGTCGAAAATCACGAATGGAACCCTGGACCTAATGTTTCTGCGCCGTTCTTCGAGCCCGATCGATCTGTGAGGGCCCCAGGGCTCGAAACCTGGCGAAAACGCCTGGCGAAAAGTTGAGACGCCAGGATTTCACGTTAAGGTGCTTTGCGGGGGGTAGTTTCGCGGCACGAACAAGTCGTCTGGGCATTCACTGTCCCGGGGATCGTTGCTTGATATCCGGCCCTGAACCAATTTTTCCGGGTCGGTTTTGGACGTCGCCGCGGCGACCGCGGCGGCCACAAATCGGGGCAAGGTTTTTGTCAATGGGTGGCGTGCGCCTCCCCCGGCCCCCCCCAGTCAGGCATAAGAACGCGGATTATAACCAACCCTACGGCGACAGAGAGTTATCAGTCTATGTCCAACGTGCTTCGTCGTGTTTTTGTTTGTGGTCGATTTGCACGCAACCGTGATAGGGTCTGCCCGCCCGACCCGCCGGTCGGGCCCGCCCGCCCGACACGCCTGCCAGCGAAGACGACCCTGTCGAAGACGATGGCCAGCGAAGCCGATCGCTGGCGAAGCCGACCGCTGGCAAAGCCGACTCCGGCGAAACCGACCGCTGGCGAAGATGACCGTCCGCGAAACCGATCCCTCCCGAAAACAACTCGTCGGCGGCGAGGAGTGCCCCGCCGCCCGAGGCCAGCGTCTACCAGGCACACCGCTACTCCGAGGGCCACCGGGCGCGGTTGCGCGCCGCGGAGGAGGGCGGCACCGGCGGCGCGTCCGACGGCGCCTTCCCCCAAGGGGCTCCGGCCTGCGCCCCTCCTCGAGATTGGAAGAGGAGGACGAGGAGGAGGCGGGGCAGGAAGAAAGGCAGGAGGAGGAAGAGGCAGAGCAGGAGGAGGAGGAGGAGGGGGAGGAGGAGGAGGAGGAGGAGGAGGAGGAGGAGGAGGAGGAGGAGGAAGAGGAACAGGAAGAGGAGGAGGAGGAGGAGGAGGAGGAGGAGGCGGAGAAAAAGCAGGAGCAGGAGCATGATGATGATGATGATGATGATGATGATGATGATGATGATGATGATGGTGGTGGTGGTGGTGGTGATGGTGATGGTGATGGTGATGGTGATGGTAATGGTGATGGTGATGCTGATGCTGATGCTGATGATGGTGATAATGATGGTGCTGATGCTGATGATGATGATGATGATGATGATGATGATGGTGGTGGTGGTGGTGATGGTGATGTGATGATGATGATGATGTGATGGTGATGATGATGATGATGATGATGATGATGATGATGATGATGATGATGATGATGATGATGATGATGATGATGATGGTGGTGGTGGTGGTGGTGGTGGTGGTGGTGAGGATGAGGAGGGGGAGGAAAATAAGCCTCCCTCCAAGCTCCCTCGTCATATGCACCAACGAGGATCTTTTTTCACTGAAGGAAGTGCCCCGTTGGAAAACAACCGTTTGAAAATTCTTAACTCTGCCAGAACACCATTTCTGGGACTTCAACGCCGCGAATCACCGTTACTGCTGCGTCTTTTGCGATTCTGATTCGGGCCATATTCACATTCTTGAGATTTCAACGCCACGAATCGTCGTAACTGTTGCGCCCTGGCAGTCCGACATCGTGCCAAAGCAGCATTTCTGTGACGTCAACCAGGAGAATTCTTGAAACGGCGGTGGACTCTTAAAACGAAGGTGCGCGGCGCTAAGGAGAGAGCCACATCTTGAAAAGGAGCCGCCCTTCATTCGCGAAACTGTTTCAACTTTTGAAGACGGATGTGCGCGGCGTTACGGCGAGAGCCACATTCTTGAGACCACCCGCCTTCCATTCGGGAAACTTTTTCATATCTTTGGGACGAAAGTGCACTGCGCTAACGCGAGAGCCACGGGGGGCTAGCTCCCGCGGGGCGGACAAAAAGGGAGGGGGGGGGGGCGGGGGCTTCGGTCAGGGGAGGTCAAGGGGAAGGGGGGTAGCCAAGGGCCCCCCCTGGCCTTTGCTCCGGCCCTGCGGGCGCGCTCTCTCGCGCCTCTGAGCCCTTCCCGTGCCTCGCGAGATCGGTCGCGTTGGCGAGCATTGCGTCTCAGTCTCCTGCGCGCCTCGCAACCGCGAGACGCATGTCCGGCGGTGCGCGTGCGGTAGGTCGCGTCGTGTCGACGGGCGGCGACCCCGCCGCCGGCTTTCGACGTCGAACGCTGCCAGCGAGCCAGAATCGGCTTGTCTTCGAACGACCCAGCATTTCTGAAACGGCTGATTCCTCAAGGTGGAACGATCCCCGCGGTGTCAAAAACCAACGCCGAAGTCGTCGCGACACGAACCTGCCGTACCAGCATAGAGCGACGGGGTCGGCCGTCTTGGGATATGGTCGCGCTTTTCCCTTACTTCCCCCCTTGCTCTTCCGCGCAGTCTCCAGTGCTCTTCCGACGCGTGGCTCGTGGCAAGCAGACTCCAGAGCGCGCGTGGGAGCCCCGGGGCCCCAGGGGCAGCAGACTTGGCACCCACCTGTTGCTCCATTGCGCAGCTGTGTTGCCCGCTCGCTCCTTCCGCCCCTTTTTCGGCCGCGCCTCCCCCCTATCCTCCGCTTGCATGGTGGCACAATTCGCTCTAACGGCATCCCCTTTTCAGGCATCCCATCGCCAGCGCAGACGTCCCCTGCCTGGCCGCCGACGCAAGAAGTGTAAATGTGCTGTTCCGGCGCTGACTTTAGAACCTTGCCGCGGCAAGCGCCAGGGAATCCCATCACA